CTTGAGCTACAGCGCCACTTCCGGTTTTCTGGTGGTTTATTGGAGATAGGAGTCTCACAGTCTTTCCTGCCCGGGCTGGCTTTGAACCGCGATCCTCAGATCTCAGCCTCCTGAGTAGCTAGGATTACAGGCGTGAGCCACCAGCGCCCGGCTCAACTATTTCTTCCAAATAGAATGATATGTACATTTCTCTCCTTTTGCTTAGTATAAGGCGTTCCCTCTTTCTCTCTCACTCCCTCCCTCCCATCGCTGCCCTTGAGTTGCTTAGTTCAGTTTCATCAATGTCCAGTGCAGCTGCTAGGCCCCTCTGCGCATTTTTTCATGTTTTCCTCTGATTCCGTGCCCCCCTCATTCCTTCCCTCATATGTGCACACATATATACCATAAGAAGGGTCAGGAACATAGAGTCATCTAAAAAACGATATGACAAATTAAGAAGAGGCCCTTTGTTTCTTGATATCCTGTTTACTTTGTCATATCTTGTTGCATTTTGAATGTAAAACATTCGCATATTAGGGAGACTGTGTGCCATTTGTCTCTCTCTCTGATCTTGGCTTATTTTGCTCAACATGATTTGTAGAACAGTATTTATTTCTTTACGTGATTCAGTCGGTTTTTGTAAGAAAATAACTGCGCTTCCTTCGGTGGAAACTTGCTGCATGTAAGGCAAGCACTCTACCACTGAGCCACCTTCCCAGCCCAAAACTTGCTGTTTTTGTCATTTTTTCTTTTTTTTGTGCTGGTACTATGGCTTGAACTCAAGGTCTGGGCACTGTCAGATTATAGGCAGGCTAACACTCGCTATTTTTTTTGGTAGGTCATTCTGGGCGTGGGCACTGTCCCTCAGCTCAAGGCCAGCCCTCTACTGCTTGAGCCACAGCATCACTCCCGGTTTTCTAGTGATTTTATTGGAGATAAGAGTTTCACGGACTTTCCTGTCCGTGTTGACTTTGAATGCTAATTCTCAGATCTCAGCCTCCTGAGTAGCTAGGATTGCAGGCATGAGCCACCGGCGCCCAGCACTTGCATTTTTCAAAACTGTACATTCATTTCACTTAACAAGTGTTTACTGAACATCTGCTGTTGACCAGGTATTTCCAGACACTGGCAACACAAACATGAATAAGACAAATGCTAGCTTTTGTAAAGCTTATTTTCCATAGGGATGCAAATTAGTGAGTGGGCACCTGTGGCTCATGCCTGTAATCCTAGTTACTCAGGAGGCTGAGATCCAGCCAGGGCAGGAAAGTCCAGGAAGTCCAGAAAGTCCAGGGCAAGTGACTCTTATGTCCAATAAACCACCAAAAAAACAAGTAGTACTGTGGCACAAAGTAGTATGGTGCTAACTTTGAGCAAAAAAAAATTCAGGGGGGCTGGGAAGGTGGCTCAGTGGTAGAGTGCTTGCCTTGCATGCATGAGGCCCTGGGTTCGATTCCTCAGCACCACATAAACAGAAAAAGCCAAAGTGGCACTGTGGCTCAAAGTGGTAGAGCACTAGCCTTGAGCTGAAGAGCTGAGGGACAGCTCCTAGGCCCAGAGTTCAGGCTCCATGACCAGACCCCCCCCCAAAAAAAAAAAAATTCAGGGACAGCACCCAGGCCCTAAGTTCAAGCCCTATGACTGACCAGAAAAAAAAAAAGTCCTATTATTTATAATGACTTTTTCTGTTGTAGTGTCATCTATTAAATCTATAATTTAGCAAATAAAAAGTCCAGTGGACCCTTCAGGCATGGCTTTGTGTACAGTCTGAGCAAGAGGATATCTACAATTCATAAAGCAGATTTGGATTTTCTGGGAGTTTGCTCCTCATGTCCTTAAAATATCCTTAGGGGAAAATGTACATAGGCTCCAAGTAACTTAAGAACCTATCTAGATGGGTCTTTCAAGACTCTCATTTGGTGCTGGGAATGTGGCTCAGTGGTAGAGTGCTTGCGTAGCATGCATGAAGCCCTGGGTTCAATTTCTCAGTACCACATAAACAGGAAAAGCTGGAAGTGTCCTTGTGGCTCAAGTGGTAGAGTGCTAGCCTTGAGAAAAAAAAAAAAGATTAGGGACAGTGCCCAAGCCCTGAGTTTAAACCCTAGGGCTGACCAAAAAACAAACAAAAATAAACCTCTAACATTTGAATTTGTGTCAGTTTCTTTATTCCAAATGATATTGAACAGTTTTTTTCCCTCCTGCCAGGCTGATTATAACATCAACTCTTCTCCAGTGAATGATCGAATAACGTACGAAGACACTGTTAACTTTTCTGATATCTCCCACTCTAATGAAGAGTATTTCAGGAGACTAAAAGAACTGAAGGCAGCCCACATAAAAACTATGAAAATATTAAGAAGAATGTACCAAGAAAAGCTAAATTTAAAGGAAGCTCAGCCAGTAACCATCAAGGAAGATACTCCTAGTATCTCTTCCAGGTGAGTTTATATTCATTGTAATTTATGTCTACTTAAAAGTGAAATAAAATTGTTTCAGAATATTTTCTCTTAAGTATTGTTATACCTTTTTTTATGGTGGTATTAGAGTTTGAACTCAGGGTCTTGTACTTGATAGCAAGTGCTATAATGGTTGAGCTACACCCTTAGTCCTTTTTTCATAACTTATTTTTCAAATAAGGTCTTGCATTTTGCCCAGGCTAGCTTGAACCAAAATCCTATTTATGCTTCCTACATAGCTGGGATAATAGGAGTGTGCCACTACACCTAGCTTTTATTGATTGATGGGGTATCACAGACTTTTTGCCTAGGTCTAGCCTCAGACCATCATCTTCTTGATCCAGCTTGGAGTAAAGGTATGAGCACTGCTGCTGCTTCTCTGTGCACTCTTAGAGCTATATAAAGGGGAGATTATATTCAAAATAGTTGATGTAGCCAGATATGCATACCTATCATCCAAGCACTTTGGAAGCTAAGGCAGGAAGATCAGGGGTTCAAGGGCAGTTAGCGCTATATAGTTCCTGTATCCAAAAAAAAAGAAAGCTGGTTGTTGGTAGCTCATACCTATAATTCTAGCTACTCAGAAGGCTGAGATCTAAGGACTACAGTTCAAAGCCAGTCCCAGCAGGAAAGTCCATGAGACTCTTATCTCCAGTTTACTACCAAAAAGCCAGAAGTGAACCTGTGGCTCAATTGGTAGAGCACTAGCCTTGAGCAACAGAGCTCAGAGGAAGCACGCAGGCCCTGAGCTCAAACCCCAGGACTGGTTAAAAATAAATAAATAAATAAGTAGAGGAAGAAACAGTTGGTCATGCCAGGGTGTTGGTGGAAAGAATTTTCCAGGTAAGTGTCTTATGTGAGCTTAGACTGGAAGGAGAGCGATGATGCTGCACATAAGAAGCAGTCTTCTAGGCAGCAAAGATCAGATGTTCTAAGGCATGGCGGCACAGGAAGTCATGGTGTGAGGAAGTTCACATATTACATATGACTGAAGAATCGTGACGGGGAGTAGAGAGGGCTGAGAGGTAAGACTGGAAAGGGAAGCAGAGATCTTTCCTGAAGGGCTTTATACTTTAGACTTTGTAACAAAGAGGAATCATTGAAAAGTTCAAAGCAGTGGAGTGACCTGATGAGATAAATGTTTTAGGATTGTGACTGGAAAATTTGGAGGACTTAGTAGATAAGATACAACAGAGCTGAGAGCTGGTGGTTCAGCCTGTAATCCTAGCTACTCAGGAGGCTGAGATCTGGAGGATCATGGTTCAAAGCCAGCCCGGGCAAGAAAGTCTGTGAGACTCTTATCCCCAATAAACCACTAGAAGACTGGAAATGGTGCTGTGGTTCAAGTGGTAGAGCACTTGCCTTGAGCTGAAGAGCGCAGGGACAGTACCAAAGCCCAGAGTTCAGGCCCCACAACCCACAAAAATATATAAATAAATAAAAATAAGATACAGCAGCCCTCTAATCTCAGGTTCTTTGACTCTAAGATAAAGAATCAAACCAGATCATTTGTAAACATCTTTAAACTGTTTTAAATAAAATGATAATTTTCACAAGTTCATTCCAGTTCCTCTCTCTAGCTGATTATTATACCCTGAAAATAGATGTAGGCCTATGTTAATTTTTATGTTTGATCAAGAAGAATTGAAAGTGTATCTTAATTCTTCTCACTTAGTTGTGCGACGGGAAAGAATTCCTATCACCCTGTGTTGTTAGTGACATCACTTTCGGAGCCTGAATTGACCCGGTCCTCCTCCTTACATACGTCTTCCTCTGAAGAGGATCTACCGCCGCTAAAAAAAGAGCTTTCCAAGAAACACAAAATGATGACGTATGCCAAGGAGCTCATCAACAACATGTGGAGAGACTTCTGTGTTGAAGATTACATAAAGTGTGATGATTCTGACTTCCCAGCAGTTGAAAAAACAAAGAAGAAACCAAAAGAATGGGTGCCCAAGGTTACTGTGCCTGTGCCTTTTCAAATGACAATTAGAGAACAGAAGAAAAAAGAAGAGGCCAAGAAGGCTATGTCGGATATTGAAATGATGCGTAAACTGATCAAGACACAAGCTGATTCTGAGCGTAGGAAGAAATTCCGAGCTAATCCTCTTCCTTCATATATCTTCTTTCCCCGTTATCAAGATATGGTCAAGCAAAATGAGGAAAGGAGGAGGATGATGAAGGAGAAAAACAAAGAAGCTCTTTTGGCTTTACAAAAGCCATTTAAGTTTATTGCAAGGGAGGAACAGAAGCGAGCAGCCCGGGAAAAGCAACTGAGAGACTTACTTAAGTCTAAAAAGAAAACAAGCCGGTTTAAAGCCAGACCCATACCTCGATCTACTTATGGTTTCTCTTCGCCTATCAGTGATAAATTAAAAGAAGAAGATCTCTATAGAAGCCTTAGGGCACAGCTGAAAGCCCAAGAATTTTTAGAGGCTTTGTCTGCCCTGCCTTCTGGGACAACAGGCAGACAATACAGGAACCCCAGGAATCCTGAGCGATCTGGAAAGTTAAGGAGTAAAGCCAGGGGAAGAGGCCAGGTTCCTGATACTCATGACCCCCCTCTGAAATATAAAGAATTCTCAGAACTCAGGCTTCCAACGCGCTCACCAGTTTATAAACAATTCGACCTTCAGACATCCTCAAGTGACTCTGCCAAAAGAGACAAAGTTTGGGCAGATATTAGAGCAGATGAAGAAAACTTGAGAGAAACACGTTGGCCTTATCTGTCTCCAAGGTGTAACTCATCAGTGAAAAATGTGAATACAAAGCCCCCACTTTATAAAACTGTCAGCCCGACAAAGCACACAGTATCTTCAAGAGGACGGGAGCAGGCCACAAGGTAATGAAGAGTACCCACTTTAGCAGCTCTGTTAATTAGTTTTATGTTGGTGAATTTGAAAATATTAAGAAATTATTACTGTATCTATAGTATATTTTACTGCACAATGTAGAACAGTTTGCTTAGGGTGTTCTAAGAAGCAAATGTACTTTATATAGTTTTTGAATTTTGGGGGACAGGCAAGGTGACCTTTAGCTTTGATTGGATTTCCAGATTCACAAGTCAGATTTCTGTAAGAAGGTTGTCCATTTTTTTTAACCTTTGAATTATCCCACAGTAAATCTTTGATAAACAACATTTTGCTTGGCTTAAAGTGAATTAAGCCGTAGTTTGTTGCCCTCAGGAGATCACTTGAGGAAAAGAAAATGTCGGAAGAAGAGAGAAATCGGATCCTAACTAAACAGAAGCAAAGAATGAAAGAATTGCAGAAACTCCTGACAGTCCGGGTTAAGGCTTATGACTTGCACCAAAGTTTAGCTCAGATGTCTAAATCCAAACTAAAACACCTCAGGTATTATGAAAGAATCCTGAATCTTCAGAGCATTTATTTCCAAACTTTTTTTTGAAAAAATCAGTTGATACCAAGAAAAGAACAAGTGGAGAATAGTATTAGTAGTTTAGTTTAGTTTATGGATTAAAATTACAATTGGTCACTTATGCTCATTATGTACACACATGCATAATGCCTGTGTAAACTCATACATGCACACTTACGCACACCTTGGGGAGAATCATGAAGCCATGTTGATGAACAGAAACTTTTTGTTGTTGTTGTTGGTTGTGGGGCTTGAACTCAGAGCCTGGGTGCTGTTCCTGAGCCTCTTTGTGTTCAAGGCTAGTGCTCTACCATTTGAGCCACAGTGCTACTTCTGTTTTTCAAGTGGTTAATTGGCAATAAGAGTCTCTTCTGCCTAAGCTGGCTTCCAACAACGATCCTCGGATCTCAGCCTTCTGAGTGGCTAGGATTTACAGGAGTGAGGCACTAGTGCCCAGTTTAGAAACATTTTCTATTAAGGCCATACTTAACCCCTATAATGTTTAATGTTTCATCAGCATCTAGCCTTTTAATTTTTTTTGGGGGGGGGGTCCGGTCATGGGGCCTGAGCTCTGGGCCTGGGCACTGTCCCTCAGCTCTTCAGCTCAAGGCTAGCGCTCTACCACTTGAACTACAGCGCTACTTCCGGCTTTTTTCTTTTTGCTTATGTGGTGCTGAGGAATCAAACCCAGGGCCTCAGGCATGCAAGGCAAGCGCTTTAACCACTGAGCCACCTTCCCAGCCCTAGCCTTTTAATTTTTTTTTTTTTTTTTTTTTTTTTTTTTGGCGTCAACTGTGGGACTGGAACTCAAGGCATAGGCACTGTCCCTGAACTTTTCTGCTCAAGGCTAGCACTCCTCCACTTGGAGCTACAGTTCTATTTCTGGCTTTTTTTTTTTAAAGTGGTTAATTGGAGATAAATCTCACTGACTTTCCTGCCCAGGCTGGCTTTGAACTGCGATCATCAGATCTCAGCCTTCTGTGTAGCTAGGATTACAGGCATGAGCTACCAATGCCCAACTACACACACACACCGCACACCACACACCGCACACACACACACACACAATTTTATGGTACTTGGAATTGAACCCAGGACCTTGTGTGTGCTTAACACATGTTCTCCCACTGAGCTGTATTCCTAGCCTCTTTGTATTATTTTTGATTGCATAATATAGTATTGAGAAAAATCTTAATTCACACAGATCAAAATAAAATTTAGTAGCTTGCTATAGAGTCTCAGATTTTTTTTTTTTTTGCCAGTTCTGAGGCTTGAACTCAGAGCCGGAGCACTGTCCTTGAACATCTTTTTGCTCAAGGCTAACACTCTACCACTTGAGCCACAGTGCCACTTCCAGCCTTTTCCATTTATGTGGTGCTGAGGAATCAAATCCAGGACTTCATGTATGATAGGCAAGCACTCTACCACTAAGCCACATTCCCAGCCCCCCCTGCCACCTTTTTTTTTCTTTCTTATTTTGGTGCTAGGGATTGGACCAGGGTCTTGACCATGCTACTTATTTTGTACCATTAAATTACAACCCAGCCCCAACCAAGGATATTTCCTCCCCACCCCTTTCTCTCTTTCTCCTTTTCCTTTCCTTTCTTTTCCTCTTTCTTTCCCCTTCCCCCCCATAACCTTCCCCCTTTTCTTTTATCTCTCTTTCTTTTTGAGGCAAGATCTCATTAGAGAGCCCAGGCTGGCCTCAAATTCAGAATCCTCCTATCTCAGCCTCTCTAGTCCTATGTGGGGTTTAGTGGTACATGTTGCATTTCATTATAGTTTCAATATAAAATAATTAAAACATGCACAGAATCTATAGAACCCCTTCAGAATATTAGCATTAATATAAAATGAAGTTTGAAAACCAGTGTCTAGATGTTACACTTAAAGGTGTTCATGTTAAAGTCAGAAAATACCTCCCCAAAGCTGGGTAAGTAAGATAATCTATTAATTTATTATAATATTAAATGACATATATGTTTGGTTCTTATAACTCAAATTATATATGTTATTATATATGTGTATTATATAGGTATATCATATGTCTGTTAGCTTTTAATGATGAGCATTCCTTTATAATGCAGTATAATCCACTGATAGAGGGAACTTAATTTGATGAACTTGAGCCAAAAATTTCTTAGAAATGTAGTATTTGCTGGGTGCCAGTGGCTCATGCCTGTAATCCTAGCTACTCAGGAGGCTGAGATCTGAGGATCTTGGTTCAAAGCTAGCCCCGGCAGGAAAGTCCATGAGACTCTTTTATCTCCAATAAACCACTAGAAAACCGGAAGTGGCGCTGTGGCTCAAACAGAGTGCTAGCCTTGAGCTGACGAGCTGAGGGACAGCACCCAAGCCCAGAGTTCAAGCCCCACGACTGACAAAAAAAAAAAAAGAAAACCAGCCCAGGCAACAAAAGTCCTTGAAACTCTTACTTCCAGAAAACTGGAAGTGGCGCTGTGGCTCAAGTGGTAGAGCGCTAGCCTTGACCTGAAGAGCTGAGGGACAGCGCCCAAGCCCAGAGTACAAGCCCTATGACCAACAACAAAAAAAAAGTATTTACCAGTAGGAAGAAAAAAAACCTAGTTTTTCATAACACTAATTTGCAGATAGTTAAAGATAATTATTACTGTATAACTATTTCCTTATTATCTGCCTTTTTATCTTGATTGCTTTACTGTATCTTATGCAGAGATAAAGTGTTATTTAATTCATTACAGGGTCTAGCCCAAAAAAGGACACATATGGTAAATTTATGTATTTTGATTGCTATTCTTCTATGTACGCTATATGCTAATTATCATGCTCCCTATTTCTCCTTGACCTGCTCCCAATTAATTAACTTTGCCACTAACCTTTAAGAGATCTCAGGGGAAAAGAAGAACAAGGTCTTATTTTCAGAATAAATTCTTTAAAGAGAACTATAATTTGGATAAAATCTTCCTGGTATATATACTTAACAAATGAGACAAGAAGGAAGTCATTCTTCTAGTTTAAGTCCCTTTGTACATTATGCCTTGATGATTTTGAAAGTTAAAATGTCTAGACTTTTCCAGGTCCACAGAATGTGTGCTTTCAGAATCTTAAAACTTTATTCCATGAGAATTTATCAGTCTAGCCGGACGCTGGTGGCTCACGCCTGTAATCCTAGCTACTCAGGAGGCTGAGATCTGAGGATCATGGTTCAAAGCCATCCCGGGCGGGAAAGACTGTGAGACTCTTGTCTCCAATAAACCACTAGAAAATGGAAGTGGTGCTGTAGCTCAAGCGGTAGAGCGCTCACCTTGAGCTGAAGAGCTGAGGGACAGCGCCCATGCCCAGAGTTCAAGCCCCATGACCAACAACAACAACAAAAATACAGAATTTATCAGTCAGAATTTATCAGAAAAGGAATGGAGCTAAATTCACAATTTCTGATTTATCATTTAAGCTAAACGTTATATATGTAAGTTTTTTTTTCTTAGATGGCCTTTTAAAATTCTATTCCTTTTATTTGATTTTAGAAAGAGTGAAAAGGAAAGGATGAAAGAATACCGACAAGAGCTAGAAGAAAGAGAAGAAGAATTAAAACAGAGGCCATTATTGTTTGAAAGAGTTGCTCAGGTTGTGTTTGTTGGAATATAAGAGCTATTGTCAGCCTTTAAGAAAAATCTTTAGCTCCCAGACTTAAAGCCCATCTTCCCTATGTATGTGTTACATAATTATTGAGACAATGCTTCTGTGATAGCTCAAGGAGAGTATCTTACTGATGAGGCAGGCAATCGCTTGATAAAGAATATACTGCCAATCCAATTGTCTTAAAATACTAGTTGCACAAACTTTTTAAAGTCTGGTTATTTTGAAGAACCAACTTGGTCATATATTAAGGTGAGGCTTCAGGAATGATTTGAAGATCTTTGCAGAATTAAAAAATGAAACAAAATGGCTAATTGAATCAGATTTATTTCTGCCAGTAATTTTTTTTTTTTATTTTAGTGACACTAAGGTTTGAATTCAGGGCACTGCACTTGCCAGGCAGGTGCTCTACCATTTAAACTATATCTCCAACCCTCTTTTGTTTTAGTTATATTTCAAATACAATCTTGTGCATCTTTTTGCCTAGGGCAGCCTCAGACCATGTTCTTCCTACTTAAGCTTCCTATACAGGTGTGCACCACTGTGTCCAGCTCATTTATTGAACTAGATCTTGATAACTTTCTGATCAAGCTGGACTTGAACTGCAGTCCTCCTAGTCTATACTTTCTGAGTAGTGTATCTGGTCATTTTTTAAAAAATGAATCTGTATTTCAGTCTTATCTGTAATCACTGAAAGCATTTCTTTATAGAAAAACCAAACTTAAGGACAGTGGATACTGCTTTTTCTGTTTTCACTCAGTTTTATGATATTTTTGTTGTTGTTGATGATGATCAGGGGCTTGAACTCAGGACCTGAGCACTAATCCTAAACTCTCCTGCTCAAGGCTAGTGCTCTACCTCTTAAAGCCATAGCACCACTTCTGGTGTTGTTTGTTTGCTTGCTTTTCTTGCTTTGCTGGTCCTGGAGCATGAACTCAAGGCCTGGGCATTCTTCTTGAGCTTCTCTGTGCTCAAGGCTAGCACTCTACCACTTAAGCCACAGCACCACCTCTGGCTTTTTCTGTTATGTAGTGCTGAGGAATTGAATCCAGGTCTTCATGCATGTGAATAAGTACTCTACCACTAAGCCACATTCCCAGCCCCCAAAATGCATCTGTTTTTGAAACCACAGTCTTATTGATTTAATTTTTTTTTTGGTTATGGGACTTGAACTCAGGGCCTGGACACTGTCCTTGAGCTAGCATTCTACCACTTGAGCTACAGTGCCACTTACCACTTCTGGTTTTTTGGTAGTTGATTGGAGATAAGAGTCTCAGGATCCAGGCACTGGTGGCTCACGCCTGTAATCCTAGCTTCTCAGGAAGCTGAAATCTGAGGATCGCAGTTCAAAGCCAGCCCAGACAGGAAAGTCCATGAGACTCTTATCTCCAATGAACCACCAAAAAACTGGAAGTGGCACTGTTGCTCAAGTGGTACAGTGCTTGCAGTGAGCTGAAGAGCTGAAGGATAGTGCCCAGACCCAGAGTTCAAGCCCCATGACTGACCAAAAAACAAAAAAAAAAAAGAAAGAAAGAAAAAGAGTCTTCAGGACTGTAGCTACTCAGGAGGCTGAGCAATCTTGAGGATTGAGGTTCAAAGCCAGCCTGGGGAAGAAAGTCTGTGAGACTGTTATCTCAGTTAACCACCAGAAAACCAAAAGTAGTGCTGTGGCTCAAGTGGCAGAGCACTCGCATTGAGCTGAAGAGCTGAGGGACAGCACCCAGGCCCAGAGTTCAAGCCCCAAAACCAACAACAACAGCAACAAAAAAAAATCTCAGGGACATTCCTGTGTGGGCTGGCTTTGAACAAACCATGATCCTCAGATCTCAGCCTCCTGAGTAGATAGGATATAGGCATGAGGCACAGCACCTGGCTATAATCTCTTGTAAGGGACATTTATCAATTTTGGGTACTTTGAACTTTTGAGTTCACTTTGGTGACACTTCTTGACAATAGATAAGAACCACTGGAGGTGACAGGAGCTGCATTGTGAATTTCAGGCCACAAACAAGTAGTAGACAGTTGAAGCACTTGCCTGACATGTGAGCTCCTCTTGGTTTTCTACTTTGGTTGGGGTTTGGCTAAGAACTACTTCTTCTCCCAAAGGAGTTGGTCACTGAGAAACCTGCCACTTTCTTTTCCTGAGTAATCTCTTCTGCTGGTGAAATGCCTCATGAAACTTCTATTTTCTATCTACTAGTTCCAAATTATAATAATTTGAATGAACTGGATAAGGTGACATTTTCCTATAAATAAGCTATTTGGGAAGCTAAAGCAGAGGATGTCTTGAGTCCAGGAATTCAAGAGTAGTCTGGGCAACATAATTTTTTTGGTTGGTTCTTGGGCCTTTCCTTTGCAAAGCCATGCATATCTTCATCTCATTACTTCCATTCCTCTGTCAAAATTAATGCTGGGCAACAGTTGATAACCCTGGATAACAGTCCACTATCCATTCTCACTGTCCTAGTCTCATTTCCAATGAATGGTATAAAGGGGTCTAGTTACTAACTTCCCCAATTGGTGCCAAAAGTCAAGGTCATTGTTGTAGATGAACAAACTCAAGTTCAAAGAAGGTAAGTAACCCATGAGGATTATTGTTAGTAAATGACAGGGCTAGGTTAGAACCCATGTTGATAGGCTTCCAAGCACTTAACCCTTAGCTATCCTGCTTCCTCCTAAAAGAAAATGCACAAGTCTAAGTCCAGTATTCAGACTCCTGTGAGCTCTGTTAACCTCTCTAGTCTGTCTCCTACTGCACTCATTTTGCCCTTATCTTGTTCCCCCACATACACCCTTTACTTTCTGCTACCTTCAAACTTGACTGTTCATGCTACTTTCTAGACACCTCAGAGTCTTTGTCTTTACTTTTTTTTTCTTTTTTTTGTCAATTGTGGAGCTTGAACTCTGGGCCTGGGCTCTATCCCTGAGCTCTTCAGCTCAAGGCAAGTGCTGTACCACTCGAGCCACAGCGCTGCTTCCAGTTTTCTGGTGGTTAATTGGAGATAAGAGTCTCATGGGCCTGAGCTGACTTTCAACTGCAATCCTCAGATCTCAGCCTCCTGAGTGGCTAGGATTACAGGCGTGAGCCACTGGCACCCGGCTGTCTTTACTACTTTTAGCTCATCCACATCTTTTTTTTTTGGGGGGGGGGTCCGGTCATGGGGCCTGAACTCTAGGCCTGGGCGCTGTCCCTCAGCTCTTCAGCCCAGGGCTAGCGCTCTACCGCTTGAGCCACAGCACCACTTCGGCTTTTTTTCTTTTTGCTTATGTGGTGCTGAGGAATCGAACCCAGGGCCTCAGGCATGCAAGGCAAGTGCTCTACCACTGAGCCACCTTCCCAGCCCCACTCATCCACATCTTAATGCGCAGTCACTATCTTGCATTGTTCCCCAGGTTACCCTTCCCTCTGTTCTTTAACTAGCCTGTGCATACATCTGTCATAGCTTGTAGAAATTGTCTGTGTAAGACTCTTGCCATCTTGCTAATTCACTTTAGAAGTGGTGGCCAAGTCTTTGTAATCCCAGCACCTGGTGCCTAGGGCCAGTCTGACACAGTGGACATGTTAGTAAGTGTCTATTGAACCAACTTGAACAATTATAATCACATTGGTCAGACATTGACCTTTTATTTTTTATGGGGTGAGCCTAGACTAGGAACATTACTTTGATAAATTTTTGAGGAGTTTCAGTATTAATATTTTGTTATTCTGTAAATTCCCACCATTCTAAAGCATCAGAAAGCATGGCAAAATAAATGATGTGTATGTTGAAAGCAGGTTATTTTTATAACCGCTATTTTTTCTCCAGTTTATATGCTGGAAATATGTTTCTCTCCCCATGCTCTTGTGAGGGCTTGCTATAATCATTCAATAATTGTTAAGCAAATAAAAAAATTGCTACTAACTACTGGTGATAAATATAAGCTGGGCACCAGTGGCTCACGCCTGTAATCCTAGCTACTCAGGAGGCTGAGATCTGAGGATCACAGTTCAAAGCCAGCCCAGGCAAGGAAAGTCTGTGGGACTCTTATCTCCAGTAAACCACTAGAAAACCAGAAGTAGTGCTATGGCTCAAGTGGTAGAGCGCTCGCCTTGAGAGCTGAAGAGCACAGGGATAGTGCCCAAGCCCTGAGTTCCAGCCCCATCATGACCAACAAAATAAAAATAAAAAATATACATATATATTTTCCCCCTTTGAACTGGAGCTTTTATTAGAGCATTAAAGTCCATCATTATTTTAGTTTCTGGAAGAAACAAAGGTAATCCTTTTTTTTTTTTTTGAGTCCGGTTGTGGGACCTGAACTCTGGGCCTGGGCGCTGTCCCTCAGCTCTTCAGCTCAAGGCTAGCGCTCTACCACTTGAGCCACAGCGCCACTTCTGGCTATTTTTTGCTTATGTGGTGCTGAGGAATCGAACCCAGGGCCTCGAGCATGCAAGGCAAGCGCTCTACCACTGAGCCACCTTCCCAGCCCCAGGTAATCCTTTTTAACAAGGTCTTTTATAGTAAAGAGAGTAATAATACAATTGTTTTAATTGTTCCTGTTATTTCATAGGATTTACAGCTCTTTTCATGATAAAGGAGAAATATTTGTTTAAATTAGGAATAATTATATATTTTCTTGTATAAAATATTAAACTATAATTAGTTCTTTTACGTACGTATGCCCATCCTGGGGCTTGAACTCGGGGCCTGAGCACCATCCTTGAGCTTTTGTGCTCAAGACTAGCGCTTTACCACTTTGAGCCACAGGTCTACTTCCACTTTTTTCAGATGATTAATTTCAGGAAATAAGAGTGTCATAGACTTTCCTACCAGAGCTGTTTTTGAACAGTGATCCTTTGATCTCAGCCTCCTGAGTAGCTAGGGTTACAGGGGTGAGCCACTGGCACTTGGCAAAATGTAATTAGTTCTGTGTATAGATTGTCTATGGCAGTGCACCACTGTTGTTTTGGTTAACGTTAACGTGTTAATACATTTTCCTTGTACTATATTTTGCTATGATGACTGCTGCAAATTAACAGCTGTTACTTATATAACAAAGTCACTTGCAGCTCTTTTCATTGTCAATTTATAGGTTATTTGTCATCTTCCTCTGCTGACTTATTACCTAGCAGAATATGTCCGATTACAAAACAAACTATATTATTTCTCTTTTTTGGAAACCACAGGTTTATAAACTGAGTAGCTATTTAATTCTTTTTTTTTTTTGTCAGCCATGGGACTTGAACTCAGGGCCTGGGCTGCTGTCCCTGACATCTTTTGCTCAACACACACTCAGATGTCAGCCTCTTGGGTAGCTGGGATTACAGGCATGAGCCACTGTCTTATCCAAGCTTATCACTGGTTTGATTTTTTTAATTAATTTTTTGCCAATCCTGAGGCTGAACTCAGGGTCTGAGGACTGTCCCTGAGCTGCTTTTGCTGAATGTTATCACTTTACCACTTGAGCCACAGCTTCTGGCTGTGGCTTTTTCTGTTTATGTGGTATTGAGAAATTGAACCCAGGGCTTCATGCATGCTAGGCATTTCCAGCCCCTTTCTTTTTTTAAAGTCAAAAAAACACCTTTTAATCTTCATGATAGTCATCATTATCTTCATCTACATTGCTTATGATCTCTATGACCTTTAACAATAAAACTATTTTTTTACAAATCTGTTTTGGTTTTTTGTTTGTTTTTTCTTGGGCTTGGGGCTTGAACTCAGGGCTAGAGTGCTGTCCCTCAGCTCTTTTTGCTTAAGGCTAGCACTCTACCACTTTAAGCCACAGCTCCACTTCCAATTTTCTGGTGGTTAACTGGAGATAAGAGCCTTTGAACTGTGATCCTCAGATCTCACCCTCCTGAGTAGCTAGGATTACACGTTACCAGCACCAGGCTATCACTATATTTTTTAATACGGGGGTTAAACTGGGTGCTGACTCATATCTTGGCAGTATGGGATTCCATTGGTCCATTGGAACTGAGCCATTTCTATTCACTTTGCTTTAGGTGGATACGTGAAGGCTAATATTTGGCCCTAAATTAATTTACTTCCACTGATAGGAGCTGAAAGTTCATTAAAACTGAGTTACTAGTGTGAGTACCATCTTGTAGTTCCATGAAGCCTATGGTCTCACAACTGTAATGACTTTTTTTTGTTTTGCCAAGCCTGGGGCTTGAACTCAGGGTCTGGGCACTGTCCCTAAGCTACTTTTGCTCAAGGCTAGGGCTCTACCACTTGAGCCACAGTACCACTTTGGCTTTTTCTGTTTATGTGGTGCTGAGGAATCAAACCTGGTGCCTCATGCCTACAAGGAAAGCATTCTACCACTGAGCTACCTTCCTAGCCCCTGTAATGATTTTCAATTTGCTGCAGGTATATTTTGTTTTGTGGTGTTGGGGATTGAACCCAGGGCCTTACACTTGCTAGGCAAGTGCCCTGAAGCCTCACCTGCTCTGCTGCACCTCTGAAAGGATCATCACAGCCCCACTGGATCTCCAAGCAAGGAAGTGATAGTCCATATCCCTTTGCTTCCTTCACAAAGTAAAGCCAGTAATTATTACTGATTCTTCTATTATCTTTGGGGATAGACATACTTTCTAACGAGTAAAAATCGCTCAGTCCCAGTAGTTCATGTCTGTAATTCTAGATGCTGGAAAGCATAGAAGGATCATGGTTCAAGGCCAGTTCCAGCAAAAAGTTTGTGAAACTGCATCTCAGGAAGTAGTCGGTGCCGGTGGCTCACGTCTGTAATCCTAGCCACTCAGGAAGCTGAGATCTGAGGATTACAGTTCAAAGCCAGCCCAGGCAGGAAAGTCTGTGAGACTTATCTCCAGTTAACCACCAGAAAACCAGAAGTGGTGCTGTGGCTCAAGTAGTAGAACATTAGCCTTGAGCTTAAGAGCTCAGGGACAGTACCAGGTCCAGAGTTTAAGCCCCACAACTGACCAAAAAAAAAAAAAAAGTAGCTGGGAGCAGTGGCATATATGTGTATCACGCCAGCTCTGTGGAAGGATGAGATTGGGAGGATAGCAGCTTACGACTGGGCAAAGCAAGACTCTCCAAACAACAACAGAACAAACCCCAAGGGGCTGGAGGCATAGCTCAAACAGTAGAGCACCTGCCTAGGAAGCCAGTGTTCTGAGTTCAAACTCCACTACATCCAGAAAAAAAAGTAAAATACTTAAAGCACTTCAAGAGCCTCCTATTTATACCTATTACACGATCTTGCTTTCTGCTCCATTGTCAGACCCACTGTACAACTATTGTAGAACTGATGTGATCTCATTTTCTTACTGATTTTCATATATAGAGTCACAACAGTAGTTAAAACCTATGTACAGTATAAAGAATAATTACAGATTACTCTTCATGTGCTATTATCTGGGGTTAGTAACAGAGCAGGCCAGCACTCTAGAAGTTTGTGTGCCCTTCCGAGACCCCAACCCTCTGCCCTAAGATAACTGTCATGATCACATCCATGATAAACATCATCTTGTTTTTCATTGGTAATGAGGCTTGCTTGAACTCAGACCCTACATGCTGTCCCTCAACATTTTTGCTAAAAGCTAGCACTCTACCACTTTGAGCTATATAGCACCATTCTGTTCTCTGACTTTGATCCTCAGATCTCAGCCTCCTAAGTAGCTAGGATTACAAGTGTGTGCCACAAGTGCAAGGCTTAACGTTGCCTTGTTTTTCTGCACAACTGCACTCCTATGTCTATCCCCAAGGGGTATAGTTTTGTCTAGTTAATGAATTATATTAAATGCACACTTGTGCTTTGCTCCATATTGTATTTGTGAGATCTGTTTGTGTTGTGGCAGATAACTACAGCTCATTCATTTTCATTGCTTTCTTTTTCTGTTGTTTTTAACCCATACCCTTTTAGCGGAGATTTATAATCTTGTTCTCATCTAAAAAGGTTTGTCTTTCCTATAGAAAAATGCAAGAATGGCAGCAGAAAAGCATTATTCTAACACCCTAAAAGCACTAGGATTATCTGATGAGTTTGTTTCAAAGAAAGGCCAAAGTGGAAAATTACTTGAGTACCTCAGCAACCAAGACATGAAGAGTTGCCTTGAAGATAAGGAAAGGTAACATATATAACATGTCTGAACAACTTACCTTTGAAAAACATTCTTACTTTACACTTCTGGTCTCTTTATTTGTTAAACCTTTTATCTAAGGGAATGATGCGATCTGTTATAAAATATACTCTTATGGTGTTTGACACAATCAAAATATTTCATGGTGATGAAGTTGTTTCTAAAGCAAAATAAATTTGCTTTCTGACTGGCATAAGTAACAAAAATAACAGCATGCTTTCAAATGAATTGTAATGAAGTCACTCAGGTTCTAAAATAAATTATTTCTCAGAGGAATATGTAATTTTCCAGTTGACACTTTCATAGAGTTTTCTTGGTAATAAATTGAAGCTAATTCACGTGAGGAAGACTGGCAAGGCAATGGTATACACTGCAAAGGGTTTATGTGCCTTTAAACCCAGTCATTTTTCCTTTGAAAGATTGATAAATTTCTTCCTCTAGCTTTAGTGAAGAAGAAAAAATAGAAGAGAGAGAGAGTGAGGAAGAAAATTATTTTGTTGAAACCACCAGCCAGGATTCTTACCAGGGAAAAGATGAAGATGGTGAAGGAAGTAGAGAAGAAAATACTGAAGACTAAAACTTATTACAAGCTCTCCTCTGCCCCTTGCTGTGCAGCACCAGGATGTCAGCAGCTGCTAAGAGCATCTTGAGGGGCATCTCTGATAAGCACGAGGATCAACGAAGACATCAGAGCCTAAAGGGACTGAATCCAGATGATTCGGTCAGAGCAAAACTGTGCCTGTTCTGTTTTAAAAATTACTGTGTGTGATCTGTTTCCAACTATAATCTGATTGGTATTTCTAAAAAGGGCTTGAGAAAAAGGTTTAAGAATCACAGTTGTCACAAACTTACTAGTTATGAAAATATAATTGTTTTGTGGGGAAATGGGCTGAGTGTTGAGAGTAGAGAGCAGTATTGGCCCTTGATTTAACTTTTTCTAGAAAGCATCAATTAATAAAGATTTCTACTAATACTATATATCCATTCTTCTGATTTGCAATATAAACTATTTTGTTTATATTAAGTTTCTTATTTGAGCCATTTTGTGAAAAGTAATGTAATATGAAAAAACGTAGATGCTTACAAATTTACATTCATTTCTGCACTAGAAATTTACTGTTCAATTATACATACTATCATCCTCTTTTGGGAGGTCTGGGGGTGTTAGTCCTAGGGCTTGAACTGGGCACTGTCCCTGAGCTTATTTTTGCTCAAGGCTAGTGCTCTACCACTTGAGTCAGAGTTCTACTTCTGGCTTTTTATGGATAATTGGAGATAAGTGTCTCATGGACTTTCTTGCCTAGGCTGTCTTCAAACCACAATCCAAAGATCTCAGCCCCCTGAGTAGCTAGGAGTATAGATAGATATGAGCCACCAGCACTTGGTGGTCTAGTTTTAGTCTTTTTTTTCCCTGGTACGGGAGCTTGAACTTAGTGCTTTGCTTAGCTTCTTTTAAAATAAGGCTCACACTCTACCACTTGAACCATGCCCCAATTTCTAGCTTTTTTCAGATTTGTCTGCCTTGGCTGGCTCTAAACCTTGAATCTGGATATCAGCCTCCTAGCTGAGATTATAGGCAGAAACCAACATGCCTACCTTACCCCAGCTACTGCGGCTGCTTTGTGTGTGTGTGTGTTTTGAACTCAGGACTTTATATATACTAACCACTCACTCTACCTGTAAACTACTCCCTTAATTCCTCACCTAAATTCTTTTATGATAAAGTATTATAAATTACTAATTTTTTTTGGTTGGTCATGGGGCTTGAATTCTGGGCTTGGGCGTTGTCCCTCAGCTCTTCAGCTCAAGGCTAGCACTCTACCACTTGAGCCACAACACCACTTCCAGCTTTTTCTGTTTATGTGGTACTGAGGAATCTAACCCAGGGCCCCATGCATGCGAGGCAAGCACTCTACCACTGAGCCACCTTCCCAGCCCCTAATTACTAATTTCTTAACCAAGTGTATTATTACAGATAGAAATCACTATGGCATGTGTGAATTACCGTATTAAGAAATATATATCATGGGGCTGGGAAGGTGGCTCAGTGGTAGAGTGCTTGCCTCGCATGCATGAGGCCCTGGGTTCGATTCCTCAGCACTATATAAACAAAATGCTGGAAGTGGTGCTGTGGCTCCATTGGTAGAGTACTAAACTTGAGCTGAAGAGCTAAGGGACAGAACTCAGGCCCAGAGTTCAGGTGCCATAGCTGACAAAAAAAAAATCAATTTTATGTATGCTCACATGTCCATAAGTTGCTAAAGGCAAATCTTCAAAGTAATTCCAATTTAACTTTTTAATGCTAGACCCATTTGTACTCACCTTTCTACACATTATTGCAAATTCACTTTCCATAATGTTAATTTGATGTTTTTAGGTCATTCCAATTTTTAAAGCAAATTTTAAAAATAAAATGAAACCAGTCATATGATGTTACAGGATAATATATTTGCTTTTCTGAAAACAATCAGCATCCTTTAAAAAAGATTAACACCTATATTATATAATAATAGTGTTTTCTGTCAATTTACAATGTAACAAGAAGGTAATTTTTCTTACTCAGGAGCAAATATTTAGTTGTAATTCCTTTTCTACAATTTATGTTAAACTGCTTGTCACTATCATTAGATTGTAAAATCCTTGAGACAGCACCATCTTAAAAATTCACCTATTTGTTTCCCTAATCTTGACAGGATTGTGCAGATGTTTTACTTAATAAAGATTTGAATGAGTTAGTGGTTGAATGAGTGAGTGGCAAATATTGTTTTAATTATAATTACTTCAAAATGAGTTCAAATGGATGTCAGACATTTCCCTTGCAACTTTTTCTTTTTTTTTTTTTTTGGGTCCAGTCGTGGGGCCTGAACTCTGGGCCTGGGCACTGTCCCTCAGCTCTTCAGCTCAAGGCTAGCACTCTACCACTTGAGCCACAGCGCCACT